TTGAAGTGCCATGATCGCGACGGCGGAGTGCCGCCAATGAATTCTCTATTCGGAGATATTTTTCTGCAAGATTGTAAAATCTGGTGAGGGAAACATCGTCCTCAGCCTGCAGTTCTTTCCACAGGTCAATTTGTGGGCGAACTGTAGCTATTATAAGTGTTCGGATGGACTCTTCGGGGGCATGAGCCACCTTGTTGAGTTCCCTATGGAAATGGTCAATGTAAGATTGCAGGGATTCATCTCTTTCTTGCCTTATGTTGCTGAGGTAGCTCAAAGGCATCGAAAACTTTCGATTTGCTTGGAAATACCGCAGGAACGTCGTGCTCATCTGAGGCCACGAACTAATCGATCCCGCTGGGATTGACCTTAACCACCGCTTGGCATAAGAAGTCAGCGTCACGGCCAAACAGCGGCATTTTGCAAGATCTGATACCTGGTGGAGCTCCATCAGGTCGTTGAACTCATACAAATGATCCTGCGTGTCATGGTACCCATCAAACGGCCACATGTCGGGCATTCTGAACCCCGGTGGGAGTGGAGCAGCTAGCACTTCGGGAGAGAAAAGGGATGCAGAGGCGACCTGGGCCTGCTCGTTTTGTTGCTCCCTTAACTTGTCCAGAGCTCGCTGTAGCTCCTCAATTTGTGGTAACAGAGCCAATTGGGGATTGCTTTCACCCATGCGAGTCCGGCCTTCGCGATTACGGTTCAGGAAAGTCTGGAGGTCGGACTCCTCTTCGCCTCGACCGGCATTGCCGACCACTCTCGACACACGCTGACTAGAGGCGTGTGAAGGCGATGGATTGTGCCGGGCATTTTCACGACCCTCGCGGTGGTACGAACTACCCCGCGAGGTGTGGGGACCACCCGCATGATAGCGATCAGGATCGTTCTGCTGGTGGTGATAGGAATCGTCACGCCTGGCACTTTTGCTTGGGTTCACCTACGACATGGCATGGGACAACTCAGGATTCACTTTTTCGCCGAGTCTCAGCTTTGCCGGCACCCTGCTTGGGGCACGGGCTATTTCCCTTTGCCGCGCTTTCACACAACCTGCAGGCGTTTTTAGCGGTTGCACCGCCCCAGCTGTTGTAGATGATATGCCTTGGTCCAAACAGTCCAGCCTCTGGTTGACCGTCTGGAGAGTATTGTCAAACCTCTCCAGGTAGCTTCTGATGGTGGGGTCAAGCTGCGAAGCTGCCAGGATATCCACCGTAGCATTTTTTGAAACTGGAAGTATCCTGGAAGGGGTATCCCCCTGGGTTAGGGGAACTCCCTCAACGCACTGGTTGGCTTGCTCAGGTTCAAATTGGCGGGTCATTTGTTGCTGTAGGACCAGTAGGTTGAAGATTCTCCTGATGAAAGATGAACACTAAATCAGGCCCTCCTTCTAGCACCAAACTGTTGATGCATGATTTTAACATCAACTAATCGACACGTGCGCAACGTTGATCGGTCAAGAGACACACGTGATTATGGATCGAAAATGTGAAATAAATGCAATGAGAGCTTTTTAAAGTGGTTCGGATGCTAAGGTAGCAAATCCTACGTCCACTGATTTGTATTAGTATTGTGGGTCAGGTCGCACGGCAGACTGACTTACAAATGATTGGGAAAAATAAATACAAAGTTTACAAGAGAGAGAGAGAGAGCTAGTTCCCAGTGTGAAAATAGCCGAATTTCTTTAATGAAGGGGTCTTCCTCCTTTTGTAACAAGATGAATGCAAGTAATCATCATTAAATCCTTGGGTTGGTGTGAATGTCAGGACATAATCCGGCTTTACGTCCCATTGCCCACTTCCCAAGCTGATTTCACACGATTTGGAGCAGGGAAATGGACACGTGGGAGCTCCATAGCGTTTGGCAGGCCTGACGTGCGCTTACCGTTCTGACGGGGGCATGTCACACTTCATCACGTGATTTCCCACGTCAGCCCTTGATTTCCTAGGCATAACAATTGTCTAGTGGCTTTCAACAATCAATGGTAGACAACTCATTGTTTATCAAAAGAGATGGTAACTTCTTTATTGCTTTATTGGTTTATGTAGATGACATTGTCTTAGTTTCAAATGACTCTCATCGAATTCAAGACTTCACTACATATTTGAATGCATAGTTCAAATTAAAGGACTTAGGTCCTTTGAAATATTTTCTTGGTTTGGAAATTTCAAGAGCCAAAAAGGGGATTACTTTGTGTCAACGTAAATATGCTTTGGAACTGTTAGAGGATACAAGTCTTCTTGCTTCCAGACATGCTGAATTTCCTATGGATACACAGAATAAATTGTCAAGATTGGGTGGTGAATTACTTATATATGCAACGCAGTATCGAAGATTAATTGGACGATTGTTGTATCTAACTATCACAAGGCATGATTTGTCATATGCAATTCAAACTCTTAGTCAATTTCTTGCTGAGCCTAGAAAACCACATTGGGATGCTGCTATAAGAGTTATTTGGTACATCAGACTTGCTCAAGCACAAGGGCTATTTTATTCTCGTCAATCACAAGTGCAGCTAAAAAGGGTTTTCTGATTCAGATTGGGCAAGTTGCATTGACACAAGGCGATCAGTCACAGGGACATGTATTTTTCTTGGGAATTCTCTTATTTCATGGAAATCAAAAAAGCAAAAGACTGTCTCTAGATCTTCTGCTGAAGCAGAATATTGAGCAATGAGTTCTACTGCATCTGAATTAGTATGGTTGCTACAACTACTTAGGGATTTATCAATTGAGCATTCTTAACCAGCACTCTTATTTTGTGATAATCAGGCTACCCTTCATATCGTAGCAAATCTGGTTTTTCATGAACGTACAAAACACATCGAGGTAGACTGTCATTTCATTTGGGTGCTGATACAAAATATTTCAATCAAAACTCTTCACGTTCGGACTGAGAATCAGTTGGCTGACATTTGCACAAAAGCCCTTGGTTATCAATCATTTTCCTCTTTACTATCCAAGATGACATACACACACCATCTTGAGGGGGCATATTGAACAGTATTTGATTTCAAATGACAAGATATTCGCACCAGAACTTTGATTTGCTACAAATCATATAAGCAAGATTTTCTTGTTGTTATCCTTTTATATTTTGTTCCTACTTAGCACGATTCTCGTGATTCTTGCTTTGATAGTTGTATAAATATACTGTTGTACATGCCATAGTTCATATAGAATAATAAAGCATTTCTTTTATTCTTCATTTCCTGAAATAGGTAGGTAGTGGAACAATCTAATAACAAACCTGATAAAGAGTATAGCTATATGTAGTAATGAGTTTTGACAGTTGCATAGAATATACGAAATGGCAAATCCATCTGGGGTGGACTTATTTCCTTTAATAAGTACATATCATGTCAACCTTGGTCTAAGGTAATGTTTGTTTGCCTAGCAAATAGAAATTTACTTTTGGGCCTTCTCTACAGGTCTACAGTGCTCTAGAGATGGTATTGTCCAATTCACTTTTCCCAATCGACCAAACAACTGAAATTATTTGATGTGATGAATCATATATTTTGGCATCTGAATGTGAAAAAATGTGGTTGTTACTGAAAGCATAGTTTGGGGGAAGAGCCATAGACATTATCATCATTATTATTATACATGGTGTCACTATCTTGACCATCACCAAAATTCAACCAAGTTTTTGCCCAATTTTACAGATTGGTCAGTATAACCATCACGGTTTTCCTAATTCTCTGGCCCTAAAGTAAAGAACCGGGTAAATCTCTTCAGTGATCACCCCTATTAGTGTCTAAGGGGATTCGAACTCAAAAACTCATGTTAGACCGCTTTACTTTTCTACCATCAGACCATCCAATGGTGGTTCATAGACATAGTTTCACCTGCCCATTTTTCATGCAAACACAATTTTTTTTTTTTCGAATGTGGTATCAAAAATTAAGATAAGCATGCATATCTTAACATCACATTTGAAGATAATCTAGAAGCGAAAATGTAATAATCCTGTAAATCCTTGCAGCTTAATCATCAAAATCAGGGCTGGAACGATAAGGTTTTGATTTGTGAACAGCAACAACATTATTGCAGTCTACTGTTAAAAACACTCTGTTTTCTTTTTATTCCGAACACCATTTCCTTTTCACTGTTCATTATAAACATAAGAACAGTTTAATCTTAATTGGGAGATTGTCATAAATGAGACATGACTGAGGAGGACTAATGAAACAACACTTTGATAAGGCTGGTGAAAAATAAAATGGAGCATGGCTCCATACTAGCGCCAGGGTCCAAGGTAGTTAACTGTAGCCGAAATACAATGTTGTACTATGCCAGACTGGATAACCTAAGAACCCCATGAAGGCGTGTGGAAGGGTGGAGCCTTCTGACACCATTTGGCTATACATTTCATGTCCCCTACACCACTCCACCTCGATACAAACCTCTCTTAACTTCGTTGGGTTACCTTGTGGCCTACTCCATCAATGGAAAAGCAAGCAAATATCTTCAGTATTCACCATTCTTTTGCATTTATGAAAACAGTGGCTAGGGTTCATTAGGTAGTTGATTTGACAAAGATTTCCCTTTATTTGATGACAGTGTTTACTAATGGTTTATTTTAGATTATGTTTGTAACTGCTGGGAACAGCAGAGGAAAATGCCCAGCTATCTGGTCTTATCTTTGAGGAACAAATTTCATTTCACATGAAGCTGTTACTTGGTATAATCAGTATAACCAGTCTCTTTGATTCGGTTGGTAGACTATCTAATCAAGCATTTTAACAAAATTTTGAGTTGATTTTCAACTTGCATTATAATCAGTTTGAGTAGAAAAACCCTTGATTCACAAAAGGATCTTTTGGAGCATTATGGCCCCAAAAACAGTGCAATGAGAACAGTGAAAAGGGAGTTTCACACTAATTAAAAGGAACCTCCTATATTCCAGGCAAATCTAATCACATTCACCTTTACATACTTTTGCAATGGCCCAAATGCAACACAGATGTATCAAATCAAACAAAAACAATTCTTCATTCCTCATGGCTTTCACCCTTTTGAAAGAGATAGGAAGCATCCCAAGCCCCCATCAAAATGTAGGGTTACAAGTGATGTAAACATCAGATAAATATTCTGCAACAACAAAAGAAGCGGGAGAAAGAAAAGAAACACAACAAACTGAAAGAAAAGTGAGTAAGATAGTGGTAGCGTTCATCAAAGCTAAACACTATATAGAATTCCTATTGACACAGTTTTTAGTGGCCTTCTTGCACTCTTGGCCGCTCTTCTTCCTTGATGGTTTTTGTACCTCCTTCCTTACTGTAGGCTAAAGCTACCCCTTTTTATTTATTTACTTTCCCTTTTCTTTATCTTCTTGATTGTCACTAGCTGAAAAATTTTGTTTTAGCATTGGAAAATGAAATCCCAGTCATCAACTCCAAATCATATACCATATGGCAGATAACACTCATTAGACCTATAATCAAATCTAATAGCAGGAATCGATTCCCAGTGAGAAAGAGATCCTACAGTCCAAATCAATAAACCAAAATATCAAATTCCACTAACTATTGCCGACAGTTTTTCTTGGATGAGGAATTCTGCGCTTGATCAGTGTATGTAAGTCTTCTTTTTGTGCCAGCTCCAAAGGTGAATGCAGAAACCTCAAAAATACCAATCGTGCTCCGTGATGACAAATCCCGGCTTGGTGTTTTTAACTTTCCCATCTCTAACTCATGCATTATACTGTAGCAAGTATGTATATGCTCCTGTGAAAGTGCAATAAAGTAGATAACATTCACTATCAAAACTTTGATAAATTCTCTAATAAACTGGCTATAAGAATCCAATAAATTGATTCATCGAGATAGGAAAGCTCACAATTTCCAGAGAATCACATGAAGAGACAACATTCATCTTGAGCTCCACTGCTTGTCTTGTCATATGAGCATCAGATGCAACTAAAACTGCAGCAGCAGCGATCATGGACGGTCGATAATCCATCAAATTAATCTCTGTGCCAAAAGATTCAAACTTAATAAATAAACAGACAATAAATTCACAAAATCTGCATTAGTTATCAATAATATAATTACCTCTTGTTATAGTGACGATAAGTTCAACAGCCTTGCAGACTAATTCTTTTGGTCTACCTTCACCAGAAAATTTGCTAATGAAGTAACCAAGGAATTTGAAAGGAGTAATTGAACCCATTTTCCACTCCAATGTGCTCAATACCAGTAGCTCCATCCTCTGAATCGCCTTGTTCTCAAAATCAAAATCTTCCACAACAAATTCTGATAAGGATGGCACTTTACACTCCTCCATTTTTGCAGCCAGAGATAGACATGCCACAGTTAATAATCGTATAGCCCATCGTTTCCCTTCCTAATCAAAATCAACAAGCATAAAAAAAATAAAGACTACTTTCTTAAACCATTAAAAAAAAAAAAAAAAAAAAAAAAACTCAGAGATGCGTACATCAATGGATCGTTTTGAAAGAAACCGATCAAAGTAATCCACAGAAAGATAAGCTGTGTGGAACTGGAACCCAAACCTTGCTCTCCTCTGTAAAAACCACAAACCAGTGACAAAAACAGAGGAAAACCAGAATAAATGAGAAAATAAAGAGAGCTTTGAAGAGCGAACAAACATTAAACATCCATCGAATGGCATCCAAGCGAGCACTTTTGAGCCAAGCTTGGTCCTTGGATGAGGCATCATCAGAAAAGACACCACTTTTGGGTCCAAAAATGGGCTCTTTTTGAACCAACTGTTGTATAAACTCTTCATCATCATCTTCCAAAACAAAACCTGAGTTATAGATATCAGTCATATCAAAATGTTGTGTTTGTTGAGTGACACAGGGTTCTCCGTCTTCAAAACACAGAAGAGAAGAAGCAGAAGAAGAAAGATCAGAATCGGCCATAGTTGAAATGAGAATCAAAGAGCAAAAAAGACATTGGGGGCTATTTGTAGGATAGAAAAGAGACAGGAAATATGGAGGGAGTGAAATAAGTTGAGTGAAGGAGTGGGTTACTTGGTGTTGAAAGCAGCGGTTTTAGTGCCGCCAAAACAATCGTATACGATATAGAGAGGCGTTATTTAGCGGTTATACGCTGTAAAAATCAAGTATGTACAAATGAGCCCCAAAAATTTCTCCATATGTTGGGAGATTCTCGCTATTATCTCTATTTATTACGCATATTTTATGGTCTATTCCTTAACTCACGACAGCTGCAGCTGTAGGACGGAAACTTTTCCCTCCATTTTATCAAAGGGTTGGTTTATTAAAGTGCTTCGTTAGAATCCCCGCGCGCGCGCGCGTACACACACGCATATATATATATATATATATATATGATTTTTTCTGAATTATTTAAAGAATTAATATTTGATATATAATGTGAAGAAAAAATTAGCGGTGAAAATTATTTAATAATGTTAGTGGCAACAATTTTCTCTTTTATGTGAGTGAATTGAAGGAGATTACTAATCTAACCACCTTTGGCTTTGGGTTGATCGAGTGGTTAAATAAAGACTTTTAGAGTATTATCTAAAATAGCATAAATTTAATTTAACTCAGTTATTAATAAGGGTGACGACTGAAGGTTTACCCAATCGTTAACTTTAAGACCTTAAAGATTAGTTAAGAACGCATAAGTGGGTCTAATACTCTGATCACAAAAACACAAAAAAAAAAAAAAAAAAAAAATTAATTAATTGCTAGTTTGCAAATCAGAAGATTGGCAGTGAAAGTTTTGGCATAATAGGAAATAAGATTGGCGTTTTTCCAGTACAGGAAAGTTGATTTTTCTGACTTGTCATGTCCATGCCCTTGGCTCATATTGGACCCTGCCTCTGCTTGCTTTATCACCCGATTTTATGGTGTTTCACCAAAATGTGTTCTTCCCATCAATAATGAGAACCATCCCTCTTGATCTTATTTTTCCCTTCTCTAAAAATATCCCATTCCTATGTATACAGCATACACACTAGTTGCCTCAGCCAAAATTTCACTTTTTTATGCCACATTAAATACTTTCGTTATTACAAGATTTACAATTCAAACAATATGTTCGTTATACATTTTTAGCAATTGAGATTGCATTTTATTGGTATTGTACTCCACATGAATAATTTTTGGCACGTTGTGTATAATTTAATTTGTTGAAAACACATTAATTTGAAGGTGTAAAAGAATACACATTATTTTGCATAAAAATACAAGGACAATAATCTTAAGGAATTGATCTGACAGTTAAGGAGGTTTGTTCATTTATGTAAGTTCTTAGATTCAAATCTTGGGATCACCTTTTATGATAACATTGTGATTTACATGATCCTTCGGACGTGTAGGGTGTTTAATAGACCCCGAAGATTAGCCGATTATCCCAAAAAAAAATATGCAGAACCAACAAATTGGCCTAAACAACTTGGTTACCCAAAAAAAAAATAAAAAAATTGTGAAATTTGGTGAGTGCAGTGACAGTTTGGGTAGAGTAATTTATCTGGACATGTACATTAACGTAGATTATATATATGTTTGAATGATGAACCAAACATAATGAAATAAAATAATATACACGACTTATTTTATTGATTTTTTTTTTTAAGGATACTTTAAAATAGTCTATGTTCTCATCTCATTTTTATTCTCTAAAGCATACCTAGGATTTGGAGAATGAATGCATCTTTATAACCCATTGAGACTCCAGCCTATAATGTTTCTAACTCATTAGACAATTTCATTACTTAAAAAGTTTATTAAATTAATGACTTAAAGAATATATTAAGTGAATTGTTTTTAGAGGGCATGAGGTACTCCGAATCCCACCCTTGTTCATTTGTCTAATAGGGTAAGTGAATTATAGAAATTGAAAAATTAAGGGGACGCAAGACCCAAAAACTGTCGTGTGAATACAATTAGTGAAATGCCATCTCATTTTAAGTTCTTCATAGGTAGACAGGAATATTTATCCTCACACTAAAATAAAAGTGAATTCTGTTGTCCTGACACATCATGTTTACAAAATTACAATAAATCTTTTTGTTGCTATTTGTCTTTTTTTCTCATATTTATTTTATTGCCTTTGATTTTAATAAGAATTGCTAAAGTTACAATAAGACCAATGGGAGTATGTTGTAATATTTAATTTGTAGCATTCTAATATGTTTAAGATTTTTTATGAATGCATGCAGAAATATGTAATATGTTATTAAAGAGTCTAAGTCATAGGGCATAGAATGACATGATGAAAGAACCCACTTTTCATATCTTTAGGATTGTTTAGGTTATTTAAACATGAAACGGAACCCATTTTAATATCTGGTGGGAAAAAACATAGAGTGGTGTTAAGAATGATAATCACCAAATGGTCCAAATGTCCCTTCAATTCTCAAATAAGGACCCATCACATAGAGGAAAAAGGTTGAAGCTGGGCAAAGCCAAGAAAAGTATTGATGATGGTTTGATAACACACGTGATTATTATTTGCAGGTAGGAGCGTCTTCACGTGTGAAAAGGCTGGACCACTCCACTCCACCCCACTCATCCCACTCTCTGTTTATCAATATGAAGAAGAGGAAGACGCTCCTCCTCTATCCAAAGTTAAACCCACCTTCTAAAATATACATTAAATCGTTTTCTTAATTGTAACATATCTAAACTTTAAATTCCCACTTTAATAATAATATTGAATTGCATATAGTAATGTTTTATTTATAGTAATATAGTATATGGTAGACAGTTTGCAGAGAGTATTTTTTTTGCTTAGGTGTTGGTGCTAAGACTAGAACCTTTGACTGACCCTGAATTCTACAAATATCGAGATGGTCAGAACCATTAGCTTTGACTGTACATAATGTTCTACTGCTTGCCATTTCAGACTAGGTGGGATAAATCATGGTTCCATCTCCATGATTTTTTATTATTGAATCTTCTGATGAGTATTTGTCAATTTCTAGTTGTTTTGTTTCCCTTTTGAATTCAATCACCTAAGTTTTCGCCAATATCCTGAGAGAAATATGCTAGAAGAATTACTACTTAGAAACCCAGCTGTGCCCACTGGCTAAAACTATCATTCTGCTCAAAATCTGGGAATAAAATTAGTGTTTTTGGGGTGGTGAAATCAATCATAAACCTGAACTCATTATTCAGCTGCGGTTACTTGTTTGGGTGTTTGGAGAGCACTAGGTTATGAAACACACCAATTTTAGGGTTGACTTGTGCATTGAGGTTTTTTGTCAAAAGTATAATGGGCTTTCGGAACCCAATGCAAATGAAAAAGCTAAAAGAATGTTCAAGTTCAAGGAATTTGGCACTTGGCAATTTTGAGGTTATTAATGGAGTTAAACGATTTTTACCCACCCAAATATGGTTTAATGAAACTTATCTATCTGCAGACTTTCAAAATTCAACTTTATTACCCAAATAATAGAGAGCAAACTCATACCAATCTATTGGGGTTTTTAAAGAGAGAGACCGTTGAGTCTTTTGGTAGTGAAATATTAGATTTTGGTGGTTGTGATTGATCGAAATTTGATTTGAGAGGGACGGTTATGTCAACCCTAATTGCTAGATTGTCGGCGATTGACAGGGTTGGCAGGAGTATGATTTAAAGGGTTTTTGTGAGTTATGATCAAGGAATAAAATGGTAGTAGTGTGCGGTTGCAACGATGTCGGAATTGAAAACGAAATATAAATTTTAGATAGTAAAATAATATTTTAAAAGTTTATGGATGGAAAAGTGTTATTAAACCATTATTTGGGTGGGAAAAAAAAAATTGCTTACTCTTATTTATGTGGTATTGTACTATTGTCAAATCAATTATGGCATAATTTATATATATCACAAAAAATAGCCATTTAATTTTGTGACGACAGTGGAAATGCAATAGAATAACAGAACTATCAAGTTATAAAGTAATTTATGACAATTGGATTACATAAATTATGTTAATTAACGACTTAACTTTCGATCCAACTTGTTATGCCTAAAAAGTCAGGGTTGACGTAAGCTTATATTAGTAAGCACCAATCATTGGCAGATTCAAGTCTTGCCTATGAATGAATAAGAGCCGCACACCTGTCCAAACCCCAGGTAATTTGAGGATATTTTTCAAGTTATGGGTCAATGAGACGCAAGGAATGACTTATACGACATCTATCCACTTGCAGATTTGTAATCATTACCTTGAATTCCTATACTATAAATAGATGACTCCCCCTTTCATTTTTGGGATTCTAATACAAAAACCCTCATTCTGATTGTAATTTTTATTTTCAAAGCAAAGATAACCTAAGGGAAAGAAACTGACTTAATATTCAATCTGAATATTCAGTTATTGTATCTCTATTCGCTGTTTGCTATATGCAATCTCCTGTAATCTCTCATATATGAAAGAGTAGTAGATGTATGATTTATTTTAAGCATCTGAACCACTTTAAAAATCATCTTTCATTTATTATTCAATTATTGTATTAGATTATCATATTTATTCATGTGTAATTTCTAAGAGTTACTTAACACTTTAAACGTGCGGGTCGTTGGTATTAAAATCAAGTATCGATACAACCCATGACAGTTAGTGTCGGTGTTATGCCCCCAATTACACAACTATATAGTATATGTGTATTTATACAATGAATGTAACTGACTTTCTTGTCGCCTATTGTGGAAAACTGCCACGTGGTAAAAATCCACCATTACAACGTTGCCCCTCATTTCGCAAATGTCTAACATTGTTTCAATAGTGGAAGGGAAGGACAAGTCTTCTGTTTCGAGAAATGAGCAATGTATATTTTTTAAAACAATTTCTGTTATTGAATTAAAACTTTCATATTTTTATTGTATATGTGATATTCAAATAATTTTATTTATTTATTTATGTTAGTGTAACATATAATAGAGTTAATTGAAAGCATCAAATAGGTAGCTTTCTAAATGGCTTAAGGGTAAAAGTCAAATCAAGGTAATGAAATATTCTTCGCATT